GGAGTTGGCTGACCGGTCATCAGATGTCTCTTTTACTTTCTAAATGCAGCAGGAGAGAGTGGAGCTAATTACCATCTCAATAGCCGCGCTTGTGTGTGTGTGTGTGTGTGTATTTGAGTGAGTCAGGCAATAGTTAAAAAGTAATTCTCACCCTCGAGCGCAGAACGGGCAAATTCCCGTCTCATCTTGGCGACTCAGGTGAGATGTCAACCACCGTTCGATATAACATCTACCTATAAACGCCTTTGATCTACTGTGTGTCCATTTATCAAATGTCTGGGGTGTTCTGATACTTTTCTGACACTTTGGCTCCTACCATCAAACTCTGGCTTCAGCTTCACAGAGTAATTGCAACCAGACTGAGAGAGATGTTCAGCGATTAAAGACACCTACCTATCTTCTTAGAAAGCAAACAAACAGGATGTTACTGAACCCTCTAAACAGACTGTGTGTGCGTGTGTGTGTCTGCTAATAAAGCACACAGACCACTGGCTGACTTGGAGACTCCCCAGCTCGCTAAGACAAACACCCTCCACGTGCAATCACACACACAGACACACACACAGCTTCCACCTTAAAAGGGAAGTGTCTGTTTGAATTCATGACTTCTCTCCCTCCATCTCTCTTTTTCTGTCTCTGGAGCGACGTTCCACACTCCACACTGGGACAATCCTCCAAAAGCAGTCTGAACACATTGTTTTTTGGCATGGTAATCAGCCACCCTACACACACACTGACACACACACACACACTCAGTCAAACAGAAACGCTCAGTGAGGTTTTAAACAAGTCTCTAACCCAATGTGTGGTCCTTCCCCTCATCCTCCTCCTTCCCCTGCTGCTGCTGCTGTGGGTCCTGAACTCATCTGGGCCTGAAAACATATTCCTGCTGCTGATCCTTCAGCCACAATGACGCTCATAACCCAAAATAGATGCTTAGGTGGATTCACAGGACGGACTAAAGGAGTCTCCGTGGTTTTGTCACCATAACACACGGAGATTGTTTTATTCGCTGACCTTCAGCTGCTAAGCTCTGACTGACGCTCTCCTCTGTGGAATCAGGAGATCAGCCGTCAGTCAGGCAGTCTGGATGAAGCTTTTGAAATCTTCTCGTAATTTGTTGCCCATTGTTGTACTTGTCGCTCATGCGAGCAAGTCTCCTCTCATTCAACGTGTTCCAGATGTAACAATCGCCTCCTGTGAACCATTAAGCGAATTAGTAGCTTGCCGAAACAAATGTTTATTCCACGTGAAATTATGCCGTGATTAAGCGGGGACGGTGATTTGACAGTTTAAAAAACAAAATCATTTTTATTCGCGTGACCGAAAAGCTTTCTTTCTGGTGCTTCAAAAATACGATATGCTGGCTCTGCCGATTCTTAAAACAGCGTACTTTTCAGAGAGCTGATGCAGACACTTTCCACCAGAAGGAAAAAAGTGAAAGAGCCGCAGCCTTTTCCAGTTTAGAAAAAGCCGTCGATATTTTGATTTCAGCATGCTTTTGATTTACTGCGCAGCCTCGCTCTGTATGCTCAGCAACACGCAGGAATCCCATCCCGTGTCTAATTGGCAGGATGGTATTTCCTCAGCAGCAAAGGGGAGTGGGATTTTCTGGGAGGGAGGCGAGGAGGCACGGAGGAGGGGAGGGCTGGCACCCCTCAACCCCTCGCAGAGGGGGGTTAGAAGGGACTCGACAGATAACCCTGCCCTGCACGGATATGCAGTCGCTGTAGTGGAAAGTGGTTTACAATAACATCTTAGCACAACTCAGCAGCTACAGTGTCATGCCCACCTGTCAGACACGGAGGGTAACTGCGAGGGGAATCTCTCTGGGAGCCTATAAATACACGAGCGTGATCCGCTTTGCTTGCTTC